TTGGGATTTTCTGTGCTATTATGTTGATTCATGTGTCTATTCTTCCTGTAGCATTCATTCTTGTTGTTGTGTATATATTGTCAAATACATGTATTTGAATAGCCTACGGTTAAACCCCTCCTTAGTACTGTTACTTTTAGAAGCTGTCTTGGATCCTTTCACCTATTTCTTTTTCGTCCGAGGACTTCATTACTTGCACTTCGTGAATCTGGGGCATGGAGATAGTATGAATGGGCCCTAGCAGCTCTATGAAGACCTTGACATCTTATATAAAGTTTGTATCTCTGTAACTTGGTATATTTTTCTGTAAGAGAATCCATGTCTTTTGTTGGCTTTTAAAATGGCCACCTAAAAAAATGTAGGAACTACTGTAAGAGTAATGTTGTCAAAATCAATGATGACTATTGAGATTTTGATCGGTGATGGGTAATGGCATTCTTGATGATATTTTGTCTTCCCATCCAAAAACATGCTAGCGTCTCTTCATTTATTCAAGATTTCTTTTATTTCAAATAGTAAATTTTGGTAATTTTCTTCATATAGCCTATACACATTTATTATTTAATTTCTTGGGTATTTTTTAATCTATTAATGGATCTCCTAATGAGCTTTCTCAAAGGAAGGCAAGAAGGGAAGATGAAATTGGAAAAGAGTATACAGAATATTTTGAATAGTCTAGGTAAAGTTTAACTTGCCTCTGGTAATCTCATTTTTTTAAAGTTCTTTAAGCATATAGATAATTAAGAAAATAAGTTGGCTGGGCATGGTGGCTCACACCTGTAATCCCAGCACTTTGGGAGGCCGAGGCTGGTGGATTGCCTGGGGTCAGGATTTCAAGACCAGGCTGACCAATATGGGTTTCAAGACCAGTGAAACCCCTTCTCTACTAAAAACACAAAAATTAGCCAGACGTGGTGGCATGCACCTATAGTCCCAGCTACTCGGGAGGCTGAGACAGGAGAATTGCTTGAACCCAGGAGACGGAGGTTGCAGTGAGCTGAGATCACACCACTGCACTCCAGCTTGGGCAACAGAGCATGACTCCATCTCAAGAAAAAACAAAAGAACTTATAAAAAGTTGTTATGAAAATGTGTTATAATTTTATTATCAGAGTACTGCAAAATACGTTATTAGAAACTTCACCCCAGAATCTTGTGTAAGCATCACTCTTTTGCTTGTGGTTTTTGTCATCTTTTACAGACTTGAATGTTGTTCTAGGACAGAATATTGTCTTACTTTACTTGGTGAAGAATAACCATATTGAATAACATTTCAGAACTATACATTGCATAATCTTGGACATTTTCATGTAAGAAGGCACTAAGGAGGTTTTATTTTTATGAAAGTGTAATTCTTAAGTAACAGTGACTGTTTTATATGGGTTAGCTCCAGACCACATTTGCATACTTCCCATGATTTTGTTTTTCTGTTGTCCCAAGTGTTAAATGTAGAGGTCAGAATGACATTTTAGGACTCTAGGTTTGAATCTCATAATCTTAAAATGAGTATTATTCAATTTATCAAAAAGACCAATTCTGGTTTTTTGTTTTTCAGATTAAAAATAATGTATGCCAGGCATGGTGATTTAGGCCTATAATCCCACTTTGGGAGGCCAGGGTAGGTGGATCACTTGAGCCCAGGAATTTAAGACCAGATTGGGCCACATAGTGAGACCCTGTCTCTAGTAAAAATTTTAAAAATTAGCTGAATGTGGTGGCATGCATCTGTGCTTCTAGCTACTCGGGAGGCTGAGGTAAGAGGATTGCTTGCCCAGGTAGTCAAGGAGTCAAGGCTGCAGTGAGCTGTGATCATGCCACTGCACTCCAGCCTGGGTGACAGAATGAGACTCTGTCTCAAAAAAAAAAAAAAAATTAGTTTTACCAAAAAATTGCATAAGTAGTGTAAATAATTTTCATTTACCTTTAACTCACATTCTCAAATGTTAAAATTTTACATTTGCTTTACTATCGTGTTTGTCTCCTTTTTTTGGAAATGTTTGAGAATAAGTTTATAGGTATGATGCCTTACTACTAAGTACTGCATGATGTATTTCTTAAAAATAAGGATATTTGTCAAAATTAGGAAATTAACATTGATAAAAACTATTTTAAGTAAAAAATGCCTTGTTTTTCCTCCAAGTCAGGGATTTCTTTTTCTTGAGACAGAGTCTTGCTCCGTTGCCAGGTGCCAGGCCGGAGTGCAGTGGCACGATCTTGGCTCACTGCAACCTCCGCCTCCCGGGTTCAAGCAATTCTCCTGCCTTAGCCTCCCGAGTAGCTGGGACTACAGGCGTGGGCCACCATGCCCAGCTAATTTTTGTATTTTTAGTAGAGACGGGGTTTCACCACATTGGCCAGGATGGTCTCGATCTCTTGACCTCATGATCCGACTGCTGCCTCGGCCTCCCAAAGTGCTGGGATTACAGGCGTGAGCCACTGCACCCGGCCCAAGTCAGGGATTTAATACCAAAATCATGTTACATGTAGTTGTCTTCTTTCATCTTCTTTAATCTGAAATGGTCCCTCAGTCTTTCTTTGTCTTTCAGGGCCTCCAAAATTTGGAGAATACGGAACAGTTTTTTATTTGTAGAATATCCCTCAATTTTGGTTTGCTTGATTTCTTGGGGGGGTTAGATTTTGGCTATGCTACGATCATATCAGGAGACATATGACATCTACTTGTTCCATTACTGATGATAATGTTAACTGTGATTACTTGTTTAAAGTGCTGGTGATGTACATTTTTCAAGAATATATTTGTTTTCTTTTATTAAGATTTTGCTCTCTTTTAGTGGGTTGAGTCCTGGAATCCTTTCCAAGACTTAATATAAGTATCTCTTTAAATATAAGCCTACTTTAAAAGATTTTTAACTCTACTGTGTTTTGGAAATTAACAGCTTCTTAAGACTTTCTGTATTTCAGAGGGATTTTGTTACTGTCTAATAATCTGTCTCCTGCTCTAGGTTGTAAGCTCCTTAAGGGTAGATATTGTGTATATATCATTCCCTGCCCTGTCTTCAATGCCCAGGACAGTTCCCATATGCAGTGGATAGTAGTTACTGCTTGACTGATTGGTTGTTTGATAGGCTAGTGGTTGAACAGATAAATGGATTGTTTATTTGTGGAAATTTGCCCATTTCAGATCTTCTAACTTATTAGTTTTATTTCGAATTCAACATACTTTAAAAATTACCTGTCACCCTCTTGGTATTAATAATTTGATACAGTTTTGATGTAGTTCTTTAGAATTGAATCTCAAGGACTGATAATAGCCTAGCCATATCATGTGATAGGTTCACTAGTTTGTTGATTCACCTTGTCAGATTGATTTTATTTTTTTCTCTCTAGCTTGCTATTCTTAAATGGCCTGAAATGTGGCATCAGTGAAATTACTCTGACAATAGTAGTAATAATTCTTATTGGTCTTCTTGTTATTTTATTTTTTGTACTAGCACTTTAAAATCTTGGAGCAGCTTAAAATTTTTACTTCTTTGTTGTTTGCTTACGAGTTTGAGGCTTAGAGAGATCATATACCCACTATTATAAAGCTGCCAATGTGTGAGCAGAATTTAGATTTCTAAGTTTTCTCTTTATTTAAAAAATTTTATTTTTGCAAGCACTTTTCCAAAGGATTTCTAAGTTTTCTGACTCCTAATTCAGTGTTCTATCTACCATGATCTCTTACATATTGTAGTAGTGTCATTGCCTACTTGCCGGGAATGAATTCATAATACCATGAAGAAATAGTATTTTGTGTCACTTTGTTCTACCAAGGCATGTTTTATGTGGTTCACTAATGACAGACTCGTATTTTGAGACTTTTCTCCCAGTGAATATGTCTTTTTCTTGCCTAAATAAACTTTTTAAAGAGCAGTTTTAGGTTCACAGCAAAAGTGATCAGAAAGTATAGAGTTCCCACATATCCCCTGGCCTCTAACCTCCCCAACTATCAGCATCCTGTACCAGAGTGGCATATTTATTATAGTTGATGAACCTGCATTGACACAGTATCACCCAAAGTTACATAGTTTACATTAGGATTCACTCTTGGTGTTATATATTCTTTGGTTTTTGACGAGTGTATGTATCCACCATTATAATGTTGTACAGTGTAGTAGCTTCACTGCCCTAAAAATCCTCTGTGCTTTGTATATTCATCCCTCCCTCCCCTCTAACTCCTGGCAACCCTTAACCTTTTTACTGTCTTCGTAATTTTTCCTTTTCCAGAATATCATATAACTGGAATCACACAGTATGTAGGCTTTTGCAGATTGGTGGCTTTAACTTAGTAATGTGCGTTTAGGATCATCCATGTCTTTTCATGACTTGATAACTCATTGTTTTAGCCCTAAATAATAATCCATCATCTGGATGTGCCACAGTTTGTTTATTTATTCATTTATCTACTAAAGGACACCTTGGATGCTTCCAAGTTTGGGAATTAATGAATAAAGGTGCCATAAATACCTATGTGCAGATTTTTGTATGAATGTAAGTTTTCAACTCTTTTGGATAAATTCTAAGGAGCACAATTGTAGGATTGTATGGTAAGAGTGTATTTAGTTTTATAAGAAACTGCTGAACTGCCTTCCAAAGTAGCTATACCATTTTGCATTTCCACCAGCAGTGAATGAGAGTTCCTGTTGCTCCACATCCTCTCCTGCATTTGGTGTAATCCATGTTCTGGATGTGGGCCATTCACACAGTCTGTAGCGGTGTCTCATTGTTTGAATTTGCATTTCCTAGTGATGTGTGATGTCAAGTGTCTCCTCATATGCTTATTTGCCATCTTAGATCTTCTTTGATAAACTGTTTAGAACTTTTGTCCATTTTTTATTCTGATTGTTCATTTTCTTTTCTATCTTTTTATTCTCTTTAACACTTTTTTTCCTTGGGCACCATCTAGTGAAGATACACAGAAAGCTTTGAGGACATAATGTTTTATTTTTTCAAAGGAAAACTCCTCTTTCTGTTTCTCTCCTTTTACCTTTGTCTTTCAGTTATACCTGCCGCCACTTGCGGAGATATGTTTATGTGTTGGACAAACTGTATTTCCCCCACTCTCACTGTTCTACGCTTCAGCATTGCTTCTCGACCCTCAGTGACAATGGAGAGGAACTCTTGTCTTTAACTTGCTCTCACATTCTCAGATCCTATGCTTCCAGGTTATTAACCTCTGCTGTCCATTTACTGCATGCTGCATGTTGTATATGACAAACAATTGCATGTTTTAATGGGGCACGTGTCAATTAAATGATTAAAGAGAACATTTATATTTGAAATGGTACTAAATAATGTTTTTAAATAATAGCAGGGTTTTGTGTCCTTACAATTGACTTCTTAAGTAATTTGTGTTATGTTTCATGGGAGAGAGGAAAGCTTTCAACTACAGAGTTGTTAATATAAACTTGCCAGAACTATTCTATACCTCATTCCATTTGGGAATCTTTTGATTTAATTTATAGTAGTCGGAGTGCTGTCTGATTTGCATATGAAATAGACTCTACAGTTACTATGACTTTTGAGTTCACCTTCATACAAGCATACCTGAGAAGCTAGCTGTAGGATTTCACTCGTGTTCTGATAGAGGCGCATTCAGAGGAGCAGGTTGATTTTATAGGAAGGCAGAAAGTATCCTATTGGGGTTTTGTATTTTTTCACTCATTTTATTTACATACAGCATAGCTATAAAATCAGCAAGTTGCAATGTGTCACGGATGAATGTAAATTAAACATAATGATGGTGGGTGGAGTAAGAAAGAGACAAGCTATCAATCTCAAATATCAGAGAAAATCAACACCTGCTGTTTCGTGTGTTTCGTGCACCAAAATAGAAGGGCAGTATGACATTAACTGCTTTGTGCTTTGCAGTTGACATTTTTAACACACATTTTTTTCTAAGTAAGAGATTACTTAAACCAGCACTGTACTCTTAGCTAGATATGATGATTTAAGGCAATATCTTCATTGCCAGATGATTTAGATGAAGAAGGAAGAAACTTCTTGGCAGGCTTAACCAGAAATTAGCAAACATTTAGAATTTAAAATAGACCTTTTCAGATGACGAAACATATACAATTTCAGACTATGCATAATATCTAAGTAAAAACACTTGATTGCTAGGAAAGGAAAGCAGTATGGTGTGTAAGTTGACAGAGACTTTTCTTGGTAGCAGAAAGATTTTACAGACTCATGATGATGTTGATCAGCCTCTTATCAAGTCAACGTAGATACTTTAGAGAAATAAAAACGGCAGGTATAGAAAAGCAGGTGAAAATAACAGAATTAACTTTTAAGTATGTAATGTTAGAAGAACTTATCAAATTTAGCAAACTAAGGCCAGTAACTTTCCACTGGCTTATGTAAAGTGAGGGAATATCAGGTAAGTTGCATGATATTCTTAGGAATTGGAGACAGAGTGTGTCTGGTTTTAAGGAATGAGGAGAGCTACTGCTGATCGTTGAACTTCTCAAATGGGCAGCATAATTGACCTTACTCTTTCTCTTTCTTTTTTTTTTTTTTTTTTTTTTGAGATGGAGTCTTGCTCTGTCACTCAGGCTAGGGTGCAGTAACTCAGTCTCAGCTCACTGCAACCTCTGCTTACCGGGTTCAAGCAATTCTCCCGCCTCAACCTCCTAAGTAACTGGGATTATAGGCTTGGGCCACCATGCCTAGCTAATTTTTATATTTTTAGTTGAGACAGGGTTTCACCATGTTGGCCAGGCTAGTCTTGAACTCCTGACCTCAAGTGATCTGCCCTCCTCAGCCTCCCAAAGTGCTGACATTACAGGCATGAGCCACTGTGTCCAGCTGACCTTACTCTTATTTACTAGTGTATCACCAGGGCTCTCCACAAAACCAATAGGAGCTTTTATATGTAAGTGGAGAGAGAGAGACAGAGACAGAGCTATTTTAGGAATTGGCTTTGGCGTAGGAGCTTTCAAGTGTGAAATCTGTAGGACAGGTTGGCAGCCTGGAAATTCAGGTGTGCCTTAATGTTGCAGTCTTAAATAACAAATTCACAGGGCAGGTCATCAGGCAAGTAACTCAGGCAGGATTTTATGTTGTGGTCTTCAGAGAGAATCCTTCTTCCTCGGGAAATCTTAGTCTTTATGAGACTTTTTTTTTTTTTTTTTTGAGACAGAGTTTCGCTCTTGTTACCCAGCCAGGAGTGCAACGGCGCGATCTCGGCTCACCGCAACCTCCGCCTCCTGGGTTCAGGCAATTCTCCTGCCTCAGCCTCCCGAGTAGCTGGGATTACAGGCACGTGCCACCATGCCCAGCTAATTTTTTTGCATTTTTAGTAGAGACGGGGTTTCACCATGTTGACCAGGATGGTCTCGATCTGTTGACCTCGTGATCCACCCGCCTCGGCCTCCATTTAATTGGGTGAGTCCCACTCATGTTACAAAGGGTACTTTGCTTTCCTTAAAGTCAGCTGATCATAAATGTTAATCACGTCTGCAAATACCTTCACAGCAACATCTAGACTAGTGTTTGACCAAACAACTGGGCAACATAGTTCAGCCAGGTTTACACATAAAATTCATCATCACACTATGCTTCTCCTCTGTGTTCTTTGTCTATCATGTATCTGTTCCATGTGTTTTTCTTTGTATCCTATCCTGTCATATCTATCCTATGATTTTTGGGGAAACTATAAGCCTTCTGGGGGTAAACACTGTATCTTGTTCATTGTTACACATCATATAGCATGTCATGCCTGGCACATTGTTAACCCTCATTAATACTGCTAGTAGCAGGTTTTAGCATTTGTCATGTGTGACAGAGGCCACTGTCTTTTTTCTCCTGGAGTCACACTCCTCACCCAGCAGGAGCAGACAGGAGAGAGAAATACATGGTCAGCTGGGAAAATAAAAGGAAAAGAAGGAAGACAAAGTAGGGAGGAAGAAAAGTTTAAAAATGAGAGGAGAAAGCTGAAGACACCATGTGGTGAAAGCAGTGTCCGATTCCTGAGCCCCCTTCCCCTGATACCTGGTAGAGTTCAGCCGACACTCAGTTTCTGACTCAGTGTAGAATTCCTTCTGCATTTTCTGTTTCCTCTTTCAGCACCCTTCCTGGAACCCCCCTCATACCTTACCCACTTGGGTTCCTCAGTACTCTCAGCTAGGGTTTACAGTATGAAGCCAGTATTTTTTCAATATCAACCCTCCTGAGGCCCTGCCCATTTTTTCTGAACAACAGAGATGAAATACAGTGTTAATACATAATGTATTTTAATTAAATGTACAAATCTAGAGAAATGTGTTTTTGTGTGAAAAAAAATCTGGTAATTCTGTGTGAGCCAAGACATGCCTGTTTTAAATCACTCCAGTCTTAGGACAAATTAACAGTATAATTTATTACAGATCACCATAGTGGATGAGAAAAAATACATATAATTTATAACTGTAATTTTATAATTCATATTATTAAATTATAAAATAAACTGAAATATTACGTCCAATTCTAGATATCACATTTTACGATGGGTACTATCAAATACAGATCATCCAAGAAGATAATAAAAACGACTGCATAATCTAAAAATCATCTGCTATCAGGAATGGTTTAAGTGGCTTAAGTATTTAAGCTAAAGAAAACAAAAATTAAGGGGAGTCAATGACAGGTGTTTTCAAAAACCCGAGGGGACCTCGTAAATGGCAGAGCTTATACATTTGTGTGTTTCTCTAAAGCACAGAGCTATAGCCAATATATAAAAATTATTGGTAGGCAGACTTAACATTTGCCAATCTTTCTAAAAATGAAACGGCAAGAGCTTTACTGCCTTCTGAGGTCAGCAGCACACATGATTAGGAACATGGGCTCTGGAGTTAAGGCTTCCTCCCCAAACCCCCAAGCAGCTTTCACTCCTTGCCTCACCACTTGCAATCTGGCACAGGACAGAGGATACTTTTCTATCCAGGCCAGACTTGAATAGACTCACATAAAAGGAGTATCTGGTCATCTTCTCTTGTAGTGTTCCTTTGTAGGTGACTAACATTTTGCATACAGAGTGACACATGGCCAAGTGGAGTCTAGTCCCTGCAGGTGAGAGATTTTCTTCAACAGAACTACGTTATATAGACAGAAAAACCAAGCCAAATATCTGAGTGGAGCAATCACAGACTCAACAAAATCAGTTAGCTTTTGGTTATGCAGAATTTAAAAATGTAAGTGACTTCTTAGAACTACAAGCTTATTCCTTAAAAAAGAAACTTACCAGTTGGGTGCGGTGGCTCATGCCTGTAATCTCAGTACTTTGGGAGGCTGAGGTGGGCAGATCATGAGATCAGGAGATCAAGACCATCCTTGCTAACATGGTGAAACCCTGTCTCTACTAAAACTACAAAAAATTATTCGGGCATGGTGGTACACGCCTGTAGTCTGAACTACTTGGGAGGCTGAGGCAGGAGAATTGCTTGAACCCAGGAGGCAGAGGTTGCAGTGAGCTGAGATCACAACACTGCACTCCAGCCTGTATCAGACTCTGTATCAAAAGATAAAAAAGAACTTTACCTTAGTCTAACATAACTTACTGCTATAGATAGAAGTCTTATTCCACTGCAAACTTCTTCCAAATGTAGGAATTCTTTTCACAGCATCCCTGAAAGAGAGCACTTCTATGTGCTGCTGACCTCAGAAGGCAGTAAAGCTCTTGCTGTTTCATTCTTAGAAAGACTGGCGTATGTTAAGTCTGCCTACCAATAATTTTTATATATTGGCTACAGCTCTGTGCTTTAGAGAAACACACAAATGTATAAACTGTGCCATTTACCAGGTCCCCTCGGGTTTTTGAACCCTGTCATTGACTCCCCTTAATTTTTGTTCTCTTTAGATTAAATAACTTGGCCGCTTAAACCATTCCTGACAGCAGATGATTTTTAGATTATGCAGTCTTTTTATTATCTTTTTGGATGATCTGTATTTGATAGTACCCACTATAAAAATTTGATGATAGCCAGAATTGGATATAATATTTCAGTATATTTTATAATTTAAAAATATGAATCATAAAATTATAGTTACAAATTACATGTATTTTTTCTCATCTACTATGACGATCTGTAATAAATTATACTGTTAATTTGTCCTAAGACTAGAGTGATTTTTTTTAAAACAGGCATGCCTTGGTTCACACAGAATTACTAGATCTTTTTCACAC